GATCTGCCTGGCCGCTGCCTTTAATAGACAGATTATAACGATTCAAAACTGGCACAAATAGTGTTATGCTATGCTTTAAACAAAACCCATTATGCTAGTCGTATTTGTAAACGAGTCATGAAATACTATAAGATCCATGTTTCTGGAACTTTGAGTCAATTTTAGCACGCGCAAACAATAAGATGAGATGACCAGAAATTTTTACAAAGTCAAGTAGCATACCAAGTTTCTTACCATAGAGTGTCTGATCCCTATGCAACCCTTATACTTCTAGCACTCAGCAAAGCAAGTATTGATGTTTGCAATCGTGTAATCTTCATAGGTACCTTTCAACTCCTCCACTTTGTCGAAAATGCAGGACAATATCCATACTGCCTAAACAAGTTCGATTTTTTAGGCACCTGAAGCTGGATAGATGGGCTTTTGCAAAAGTAAGGCACCTGACTGAATAGCAGAATGAGAGTAAACCACTTCATCGCAGCAAAAGTACACTGGAGAATTTCGAATGTATCCTTCAGATCCTCAAAATCTCCACTTCTTGTCGTTTCTTATTGTTAGATACAAGAACAATGGTGCGCACAGGGAACAAAAGCAGTTAGCTTCCGACAAATTTATACTCAACATTAGAGACATCTAGACAAGTCTCTATGTAAACGAAAAACCTACTGCTAAGCAAGAAGGAATGGTTAGTCGAAGTGGCCATATGAGATGAGATGTATACTGCTTTGAAGGCACGAAACGCTGATACCAAGTTTGCCTTCCATCTGCTGCGGGTTTCCGGTGAGAAGATACTACGAGGATTTATATAAGCAGAGAAATGAACGAGAGTTTGAACAGAATCAAACTTTGAAATTTTCATAGCTTAAATAAGGTCGCGATGAAAGAGGGTAAATATAGTTTGGGAGTATTCATTGCACGGAGTAGCCTGCCATTTAATCTGCTGCTTCAATGAATGCTCACAACTCCTACCCCAGAAACTCACAGCAGATAAGGAAGACAGATTCGAGGCAGTATATCTCATCTTGAAAGGCAATTTGGGACCTTCCTTCTTCCGTAATTCGCACTGTGCTGGGGAGTTTCTATTCCCATTTCCTATATTTGCGTAGCTTATTATCGTTCGAAGTGTCTTTCCCGGACGCTGCATGGCATCCCGGCAAACGTCGCCTTTACTTTGCCAAGCGAAATCTATCGTAGGCAGTTGAGCGCTTATAAAGACATCTTCTGGACATATTTTTGATTAACAATAATTTCAATGAAAATTTCCATTTCGGAAGCTTATGTTTAGATGTGAGCATATTGTAACTTCAGCGCCCGGAAGTGTAGTGCGCGATCTTAGTTATACTCTCATAGAAACTACAACTAAATAGTTGTACTGTCTCTGCTGATCTTCAGCACGAAATTATGGTAAATCAACATTCCTCTGAGCAGAATAAATGCTGATTTTTCAAAGTTTTGTCAAAAGTCCTCCTTTCTTATAAGCTGGGCATTTTTTCAAAATTTTGTCTGTGAATTAAGACTTAGATTGCTATATATTTCATTCAGAAGCCTAGCCTAATGCAACAAGTGAGAAATTTCTAGTTGGAAAAATTCGAATTTAACTGGCACTGATAACTACTTGTAAAAGAGTGAGAAATCTAAGTGATTCAGGTAAAACTCAGACTACCACTCATCGATAAAGTTTATGCCATTACATATCTGTTATGCCAGCTTAGAACCCGTAATCAAATTAAGATTTCACATTGAAGCAGACCTCAATTGTACTACTTTCTCGTATAAAGGTGTAAGACCGACAAAGAAATTTTTCCAGTCACTCGAGATGTATTTTCTTTTGTTAAACACCTGCAAGATTTCCAAGACAATTTAGAGTTTCAATCCAAAACAGACTACTAAGATTCCTCAAAAGACTCTTGAACTTCGTTCAAGAAGTTATTTGAGATATCGGGGCCATGAAAATCCGGCAAAATGACCAGGATAGTCAAAGCGCTAAGCTCTGCCAATGATCAGAAGAGCATTTCTTTTTGCGCATTGCCTAGGCTCGACCAACTGTTTGGGAATATTTATACAAGAAAGAACTCGACGACGTTTATAATAAAACTTTCAGACAAAACTAGCAGTTCGCATGCGACGTACATACTATGTTTGATTGCATCGAACTAAATGAATGGTTCCACATCTATGATGAACTTCAGTCTAGAGCAAATACAGAATTTTAAAAGACGAGAGAACAGGAGTTAAACAAACGTAAACCGACGCTATCTCCGTGGGATTCTGTACCGATGGCGGGCGTAAATACAAAACACACAGCTATAACAGGAGGATGTGAAGTTTTTTGCCTATTCCAGTCGAAGATGGTAACCGAGACGGCGTAAGTTTTCATTCTATAGGACGGCCGAAAAGTATGGGCGTTAGATTCTTCATTGCAAAATCTACTTGAAAGACGAGGTTTTGTAAAACTATTTTTGATGTCAAAACAGAAGCGTCTTGATGTGTTACCCCTATCGTCCATTCTCCGTAATATAGCTGGCGGAGCTTTGCCGACGTTTGCCAACGTATGCGCGTGGCAGTTTTTGATAGCTAGAGAGCACAAAAACTAAAGCTTTAGAATGAAGGTTTGACAAGTCTTTTAACGTGTCCAAATGTCTGCAGGGCCACTCCCGCTATACGCATGGGAATCGCCTATACAAAGCTTGCACATGCACGCAGACTTCAGCATCCTATCTTGAAGCTCATGCGTCAAAAAATGCAGTCTGAAGAATGTACCAGATGCAAATTCGGGGCAATAATCCCCTTACGAATCAAACAGTTTTTAATTCATGAGCTTTTGTAGAGAATAACACAGTGCCCTAACAGAAGTGGTTTTTCTCCTCCGAAATAAAATACGGTATTTTGAACATCGTGCTTACTGACTGAGCTGCAACGCCTTTCAAGTGGAAGCAGACTTCGGAGTCGCGTTTGCATCAGAAGGCATCAGTTCGCGCGATACTCATAAATCTCAGTATAGAGGGTTTCATAAGCTACAGACATATTAGATGTCTTGATAGAATATTTCAGGAAAAAATATATTGAGTGTGTAACGCCCAAACTTACCGGTCACCCTGCAAGTTGTAAATGTGTGGATAACGACCTTCTTTACATTATGCGACTCCTACTCCCTTTGAATTTCAAATGTTTCAAAGATCACTGCAGGTAAAATTAAACCTTTCTTCCAGTTCAAATTCACGATCGAAGCTGTGAAGAGGGTAGCGGTGCGCGATTGAGCATCCATAACGGAAAATTTATTTCGAAACTTATTCCTTTTGGCTTATTGTTATATTTGAACAAGAATGGCCAGTGAGAGTGAAATAAGGAGTAAAAGTAATGTATGATTTTTTTCAGAAAAGTAAATTTTTTCCATTTTGCTGTAGTTATCTTTACATTCTCTCAGCAACGTTACGGTCATTAGTTTTTGTGGCAGATTAGAGCTATGAAGAGAGTTATCAGATTTCTGGATATTACAAATATGGTTATCTAATATTGGGAATACTCAAATAGAGGCAATTTTTTAGATTAACGTGAAGTAAGGGTTTGAACAGCAAAAACTCAAGCTAGTCTTCATAATTTTGTTTGCAATACATTTTAAATGATTTTGAAAAATCATTTGCAGTCTGGTTCTGCAACTTGCGGAGTAATCAGTAATCCAACTTTTTTTTTACAAACATACAGAAGTCAGCGAACGGTTTGGTATCACAAAGAAATCTCAACCGTACTTATTTGTCATTCGTGAAATCAGTATAGAAAAAAACGATAAAAGTGTCTTTAGATTGATTTTAGATTGTTTTCTTTAAAAAAGTATGCAGGTCTTCTCATTCCCAAAATTCCCAATGACCTTGCTCTTGTGAATAGCTGCATAAGCTATGACTACATTTATTACAAAATATGGAACTTTTATATTACAATGATCATGCTGGAAAAACACTTCAAAAATTGATGACATGCGTTTAGCTTTCCCCTCATTCAAAAATTCACAAATGTTTGGCACATCGGATCCACATCGTCACGGAGAAGGCTGTGGACGACGGCGCTGCCATCATTCAAAGTAGCGTGTGAACCATCTCCAGCGGTTAACAGTAGGCACTGCTTTTCGTCCTCCTGTAATGTGATTATGGATACTTGGTTTTTCCTCACTTATAATCGTCCTGACTTCTTCATTCAGCTAAAAAAGAGCAACGGTTGAGAAACACATCCTCTCCAGCGCAGTACTGCAATCACTGCACTGCACTATGCTTTGAGTTCTCAATGTTGTAAAAGTCATCCGCGTATAATCACGAGGTTGAATTACGTACAGCCAACGCTATGAGATGGTATACGACCTACATTTTTGGAACCTTTTTAGAACTACTCATCCTTTGTGTTTGATTGCTTTAGTGAACCGTAGCGCAGCCGATTATAGGATATAATAAAGGCCATGTATACTGTTTGCTGAAGTTATTTTCACTATTTCTTAGCAAGGTCCAGATTGATCAGTCCCCTGCCGATTTCAAGTGGTGTCTTGAAAGTCGCTAAACTTTTGGTTGCTACACATATGGACTGTTACCAAACGATGAAAAATTTCAAACAGCCAAGTTTTCGAATTAGAATGTGTGCTTAAACTACGAAAATCTTGAGTACTTCATGGGTTTCGTATCTGGCAATAGCATTTCGAATAAGCTGAAAAAGCATTTACAACTTCTTAAACTATACGTGGTATCGAAGCTAGGCTTAAGTTCTTTTTTCAGAACCAGTGTTAGCAAACTGCTCACTTCGTACAGTTTTAGGAAGCATTCAATCCCATACTGAAATTTTTACCGTGCTTATTCGGCAATCGTAAAGTCATGATTACAAAAAAAAACTGTTTTCCCTAAACGTTTCCAAAGTATGTACAGTTTTTTTCCATAACGCTTTCGTTATTGTGCATAGCAGCGTAATCCATAACTACATTTATTACAAAACAACAAGCAAATTTTATTTCAATGATCATGCTGCAGAAAACACTTCAAAAACTTATGACATGCGATCAGCTTTTCAACACTCAAACATTCAGGAATGTTTGGCACGTCGGATCCACGTCGTCGCGGAGGAGGCTGTAGACAACGGCGCTGCCATCATTCAAAGTACGGTGTAGAGTATCTCCAGCGTTTAACAGGTGGCACTCCTTTTTGTTCTGCAATGTAATGATGGAAACTTTGTTTTCTTTTTCTACTCATAGTCGCTGACTTCTTCGTTTAACTAAAAAAGCAGTGATAAAAACACATCCTCTTAAGCGCAAGTTAAAAATCATTTGCTTTACAAATGATCGCAGCTCAAACTTGGCTTTTTTACGAATAAATCAAAAATGCCTTCAAGCCAGTCAAGCATGAGTTTGATTTGCAACGCTCTGTTCTTTCTAAAAAATCTTGGCTAGACTTTGCTGGAATGAGTGGTTCAATCGAAAGATAACAAAACTATGAATTTTTTTCAAGACTAGACTTTTCTGACTAGAGCATGCAGTGTTTCTAACAACACGAATACTTCAATCACTCCATTGGGCATTACGCTTTGATGTCAATGGCAAAAGTCATCTGCGTATAGTCACGATGTTGATTTACGAACAGCCAACGCTATGAGACGGCATATGATTTACATTTTCGGAACCTTGAATCCAATTTCCCTGCCTGCAAACAATGGCAAAATAATACAGCCAGATCCTTTGCGATGTTGAGTAGTATAAACATCTTTTACCTTCCAATACTGGATTCCAATACATATCGCGTTCTCGTAGCACGCAGCAAAGCATTCGTTGATGTTGTCAACCACAGGTCTTTCAAAAGTAACGCTTTCCAACCTCTCCACTTTGTCAAAAATGCAGGACGAAACCCATCCTGCCTGAAAAACAAGAAGTGACCATTTCTGTGAATTGTAATCAAGGAAGGTGTTCTACGATGTGAGATGACCTGAATGAGCAGTAGGATGAAAGCGAACCACTTCATCGCGGTAACAGCTGAATGATTGAAGATTCTCAAACGCTCCTCCTCTCAGAGTACCATGAAATCAGAAACTATGGCAGCGATTTGTCGCCAAGAAACTAAGGGCTATACAATAAATCACATAAAAGTCTCCTAGAAACGATTTTTCACTGCTTAGTTGCAATTGAGTTCCTACATGTTTGAAAACAAAAATCATTATCCGCATAGAAAGTAACAACAGTGTTTAAGTTGGCAACATGTGAGTAAAAAGAGGAGTGGACATATTTTCGTACTGAAACACAAAGCATCCTGTATTTTGAATGTGCCCATAAAAATTAGGGATTTTTTCATCGACTTGATAGTTATTAGCAATCGATGTAGACATTTTGAAGAATCCGAGGAATAATCACTTTTTACCGTGTTTGATTATGCAATTTTAGCGCTTTCTTAACAGAAATAAACGCACCTGCTTAGCGATCCAATCTCAGTAAGACCTTGCTTACACTTATCAGACTCTTGCTTGTAAAGAATCCTTGCTGTTCAGTGGTTTGGAGCCATATAAATAGCTATACGTTTGATCAGCTTCTTTCATAGGACAAAAATTCAGAATTCGTGGTTTGTCTACCAAAGGTACGAAAGGTACCAAAGGTAAGCTTTGTATAACAGAATTCAATCCATCTCAAAACCGTGATGCCGATGCCCCTCTTAAAGTAAGAGGCGTATGAGATTAGTTTGCATCTTCGCTCTTACTATTATGGTATTTTTAGTAATAGGCGGATATAGAAGAACACTTGCAGAAGACAATCCTAGTAAAATTTTTTGCACCTTTTTGAGTCATTAATGTTTCTTCTTGAATGGGAATTCCATATGACGATGCGTATCCTAAAAGTCGTAAAATCTTGTAAGCTCGGGCTAGAAAGATTATTACTATAATTGTTTCTTCACATCATGAAAAGTGCTGTCAAAGCTTCTCTCATGAATTAGTCATAAGGTATAATAAACTTTAGCCGGTGACCAACAAATGTCAAGTCATTGGTAGCATTGTCTAGTCCAACTTGAACGCCGTCACAGGGGTATGTGCGTGGGGGTGGAATTTCTCATTATGCAGAACCTTTACAAAGCACTATCCAAGCAAATCTGAGCGCATAGGTCTTTCGCCTGGAAATGGATGTAGGGGCCCTAACTAAAGCACTGTCCAAGAGGCAACGCAAATTGTTCATCCACGGGTGAAAAACCCGTTCCCAAAAACCCCGCGCCTGCGCCATGACCGTAACCCGAGGACGACTTCGCTCACATTAACACAACGTTCGCGCTGGGACCCATCCTTAGTGTTACGGTCACGGCGCAGCCGCGGTGTGTTTGTGGATGGATTTTTCAGCCGTGAATAAACCATTTGCGCTGCGGTTTGAGCAGTGCCTTAACTAGAACCTCCTCACCGGTTTCCACGCAAAAACCCATATGCCCAGATTTGCCTGCACACTGCCTTTAACTTGAACCGCGTTAACAGGTAAATTCCATTCCTTAGATCAAATGACCATTTTTACAGAATTTGAGACAACTTTGAACATTTTGCTAATCATCTTCATAGCAAGAATAGATTTCTAGTCATCCGCAAAAGTCTGCATTCCATGTCCAAATGCGTCTTCAAAACTGTTGTCAGTTCTGCCATTGCGAAAAAAAGGAGGAGAATGCGTAGCTTCCTCGTGGCACACCACTACTGCAGCGACCGCTTTGCGGCCTGTGGCAACTCGGTGGGCTCTTGGCACCTAGATGTAACCCGAGGCATGATGCTCGCTCGAAACTAAGCGACGTACCTAGCCTACTGTGTGCTAACGCGCGACTGATAGAACGGTAAATGAATTATGTGATTTATCCTTATGACACTACACTACAATTAAAAATAGACAAAAATACTAAATTAAAAACAAATTACTACACTACTACTCCGCTAGATCCGCATTAGTCTTCTGAATGTTGCTCAATTGTTATTGAGAATACGATGGGTAGAAGCAAGACTGTGATCTGGGGCTTAGAACAGTTTTTTCGTAATAACCCCAATTTCTAAACACCAGTAGTTAGATGAAATTTCTGAACATACAAGTCAACAAAAATCACATTTTTTTATTGTTATAAGATGTTATGGCTCCGCAATTCTAATTGACGCAATATTTTACATACAATTTAATCAATCTCTGAGAGCGTTTATAGATCTAGTCTGTTTTCAAAGGTTTGCAACCACACGGTGTTCTTATGTTATTGGTTGAGAAATCCTTTAAACTTGCTCTGACAGCTAGAATTTTAGTAGTTTAGAACAGCCGAGGATCAAAACTCATTGGGAGAGCCAATCTTTTGCAGCAGCTTGTGAATATAATAAAGCACTTGAAGTGAGGTCTGCTGCTATGATGTGACCAAGCTGATAATTTTACGTACCCTTAAAAAATGAAAAAGCGACTTGACCTCTTCGAAGCTGCGCCATTGACGTCTGTTCCTTTGTTCTTCTGTCAATGGGGAAGATAGGGGGCTTTTTGTGAGATTTTCTAAAGTATGTTTAGTTTTTCATGATAAGATTTCGTTGCTACCATTTATTTATGGCTTAGCACACATGGCATGTCCTACACGTCTTCTTTACAAAACAACATGCAGTTTTATTCAGTGATTGTGCTTCATAAAGCCCTTCTAAGAGGATGGCATCTGGCTCTTCTCACATTCAAATATTCACAAAAGTTTGGCATGTTGGATCCAATTCGTCGCGGAGAAGGCTGTAGATAACGCCGCGAACATCTTTGTGCAGAACATCTCCAGTGGTGATCAGTTTGCAGTCATCAGGCGTTAACTCACATATGTTCACTTATAGTCATTCTAGCTTAATCATGCAGCTAGAAAAAAAAACAGTCGTCGAAGAACTTGTCTTGTGTTTTTGTTTTTGTTTTTGTTTTGTTTTTGTTTTTTCTAAACAAAGTGAGCGAAATTTAATTACCCTGATGTTAAAGGCAGCGTCCAGGCAGATCTGGACCTATGGGGATTTTACGTGGAAAGTACTTTTGGGGCCCTAAGTAAGGCACTGCCCAAGCGGCAGCGCAGGTAATGCTCTAACGGCTGAGATATTCCTCTCGAAACTGGACCCCGCGAACGTATTCGCATGGATTCATGCCAGGTTCGCGCCAGGGTCCACGCTTTGCGCCATGAATCCATGCGAAACGCCGCGAACATCTTTGTGCAGAACATCTCCAGTGGTGATCAGTTTGCAGTCATCAGGCGTTAACTCACATATGTTCACTTATAGTCATTCTAGCTTAATCATGCAGCTAGAAAAAAACAGTCGTCGAAGAACTTGTCTTCGACTACTGTTTTTTTTCTAAACAAAATGAGCGAAAGCGAAATTTAATTACCCTGATGTTGAGAGTACAAAACACACTTTTTTTTTTGATTTTTTGAGCGAGCCGCTCAGCAGCCTCGCTTTGATTCGGAAAACTAAACTTGCCCGATATCTCAGGCATTGCGCAGCACTGTAAAAGTCCTTTGGTTGAGGCCGTCGAATTTAGAGAGAAAAAACAGGTGCGTCCTCTACTCGTGAAATTAGTGTAACGATCACGATTCGAAACTGGCGCGAATAGCGCTACGCTAAATTATAGACATAAAGTCCATAATGCTAGTTATATTGGTGAAAGAGTCATGAGATCTTTACGATCCATGTTTCTAGAACCTTGAACCAGTCTTAATACCTGCAAACAATAGCAAGACGAGACGACCAGAAACTTTACTTTACGAAGTCAAGAAGCATATCAAGTTTCTTACTTTATAGTGCTTGATTCCGATGCATTTCGGATACTTGTAGCATTCAGCAAAGCAAGTATTGATGTCTGCCACCAGGCTATGACTGATACCTTTTAACTCCTCCACTTTGTCGAAAGTGCACGGCAATATCCATACTGCCTAAACAAGCTCGATGTTTTTTACGAAAATGAAGCTGAAAAGATGGGTTCCTGCAGAAGTAAGGTACCTGACTGAATAGCAAAATAAGAGTAAACCACTTCATCGCAGCAAAAGCACGCTGGAGAATCTCTAGTGTATCCATAATCTCCACCTCTTTTCGTTTCTTAGATACTAAGAACAATGGTGCGCACAGGGAACAAAAGCATTTTGCTCTAATTTATACCTAACATTAGAGTCATCTAGACAAGTCTCTATCTAAACGAAAAATCTACTGCTAAACACGAAAGAATGGTTAGTCGAACTGGCCATTCAACATGAGCTGCATACTGCTTCAAAAGGCACGAAACGCTGTACCAAGTTTGCCTTCCATCTATTACGGGTTTGTCGGTGAGAAGTTACGAGGACTTATATAAGCAGAGAAATGAATGAGCAGCTTGAGTGGAATAAACTTTGAGATTTTCATAGCTCAAATAAGGTAGCGATGAAAGAGGGTAAATATATTAGGTTGTCCCGAAAGTTTTGTCCGTTTTTTCAACTCATCATAAAAACACGTGGAACGAAGATAGGGAAACGCTCTAAGCACTATCCGACGCATCTTTTCCTCCTCTTTCTAACTGTCATGATCCTATGCCGATTACGCTTTTGCTCACTGAGATAAACGCCGAAATTTCGAACCCATGGTTTTTACTATGTCCAAGTTTGGCAATTTTTCACAATCTTCATTTTTGAAATTTGGAAAAGCTCTGGTAGCAGTCATGTAGAGCAAACAAAGGGCAATACAATGCAATTTTGCGGCATCTATAGCTAGCCTTGAAAATTTTTTTAGAATTATTTTCCTGATGCTATCAAATTCCACTTTTGGTGATGCCAAAAGCCAGACATCATGAAACGGCGCACAACTAAGGTGTTATTAAATGCAGCTTTTCCTCCTCTTTCCAGTGAGTGTATTTTTCCTCCAACTTGTGGGGTCTTTAGCGATAAAATTTCCATAATTTTTGAATTTGACCTCACCCTAGCGCATACCGTAAAATGCCAAATCTTTTATTTCGAAGCGGTAAACGCTCAGTTGCTTTGTAAAAATAGTGAGTAATCATAATCGATTTTTGAAAGCTTCAAATCGGATGATTTGTTAGTGTTCGAGGCGTTTCTGTATTTTGGGACTTCGCAAAAGTGAAGACTTTTAAAAAAATCATCTCAAAAATACTGAAAAGCCAGCTGGATAAGCCAAAAAATTGCATTGCATTGCCATTTGTTTACTCTATCTGAGCGCTATCAAAGGTCTTCCAAAAGTTGAAAATGAAGTTTGTGAAAAATTGCCAAACTTGGACATAGTAGAAACCAAGGGTTCGAAATTTCGGCGTTTATCTCAGTGAGCAAAAGAGTAATCGGCATGTGATCACAACAGTTGGAAAGAGGGGGAAAAGCTGCGTCGGACAATACCTGAAGCGTTTACCTACCTTCATTCCTCGTGTTTTTATGTTAAGTTGAAAGAAAGGACAAAACTTTCGGGACAACCTAATAGTTTGGGAGTATTCATTGCACGGGGTGCCCTGTCATTATCACTGCTCCATCCAAGCGCGAGGAAAGATATAACTGCAAATTTCACCTAAGTAGTGGATTTAATCTTCTAAATGAACGCTCACAACTCCTACCCCAGAAACTCACAGCAGATAAGGAAGGCAGATTTGAAGCATCATACGTCGCATCTGAAAGGCAATTGCAGACCATCCTTCTTCCGTAAGTCGCACTGTGGGGGAGTTTCTATTCCCATTTCTGATATTTGCAGAGCTAATTATCGTTCGGAGTGTCTTGCCCAGAGGCTGCCTGGCATCCACGTTGCCTTTACTTTGCAAAGCGAAATCTATCGTAGGCAGTTGATCGCTTAGAAAGACATCTTCTGGACATATTTTGTTTGACAATAATTTTAATAAAAATTTCCATTTCGGAAGCTTAAGTTTAGATGTGAGCATATTGTAACTTCAGCGCCCAGAAGTGTAGTGCGCGATCTTATTGTTAGTTATATTCTCATAGAAACTACAACTAAGTAGTTGTATCTCTGCTGATCTTCACTACGAAATTTGTGGTAAATCAACATTCCTCTGAGCAGAATAAATGCTAATTTTTCAAGGTTTTGTCAAAAGTCCTCCTTTCTTGTAAGCTGGACATTTTTTTCAAAATTTTGTCTGATTAAGACTCAGGTTGCTATATATTCCATTCAGAAGCCCAGCCTAATGCAACGAGTGAGAAATTTCTAGTTGGAAAAATTCGAATTCAACTGGCACTGATAACTACTCCTAAATGAGTGAGAAATCTAAGTGATTCAGGTAAAACTCAGACTACCCCTCATTGAGAAAGTTTATGCAATTACATATCTGTTATGCCAGTTTAGAACCCGTAATTAAATTAAGGTTTCACATTGTAGCAAACCTCAATTGTACTACTTTTTCGTATAAAAGTGTAAGACCGGCAAAGAAATCTTCCCAGTCACTCGAGATGTATCTTCTTTGTCAACAGCTGCAAGATTTACAAGACAATTTGGAGTTTCAATCCAAAACAGACTACTAAGATTCCTCAAAAGACTCTTGAACTTCGTTCAAGAAGTTATTCGGGATATCGGGGCCATGAAAATTCGGCAAAATGGACAGCGTTAAGCTCTATCAATGGTTTCCTCAACAGAATAGCACTTCTTTTGCGCATTGTCTATTCTCGACCAACCATTTGGAAATATTTGTACAAAAAAAAACTTGACGACGTAACGTCGTTTATGATAAAACTTTCAGACAAAACTGGCAGTTCACATGCGACGTACAGACTATGTTTGCATCGAGCTAAGTGAATACTTTCAACAGCTATGATGAACTTCGGCCTAGAGCAAATAGAAAATTAAAATCGACGAGAGAACAGGAGCTAAACGAATATAAATCAACGCTATTTTCGCGGGATTTTGTACTGATGGCGGGCGTAAGTACAAAACACACAGCTATAACAGGAGGATGTGAAGTTTTTTGCCTATTCCAGTCGAAGTTGGTAACCGAGACGGAGTAAGATTTCATTCTACAGGACGGCCGAAAAGTATGGGCGTTAGATTCTTCATTGCAAAATCTACTTGAAAGACGAGGTTTTGTAAAACTATTTTTGATGTCAAAACAGAAGCGTCTTGATGTGTTACTCCTATCGTCCATTCTCCGTAATATAGCTGGCGGAGCTTTGCCGACGTTTGCCAACGTATGCGCGTGGCAGTTTTTGATAGCTAGAGAGCACAAAAACTAAAGCTTTAGAATGAAGGTTTGACAAGTCTTTTAACGTGTCCAAATGTCTGCTCCCGCTATACGCATGGGAATCGCCTATACAAAGCTTGCACATGCACACAGACTTCAGCATCCTATCTTGAAGCTGATGCGTCAAAAAATGCAGTTTGAAGAATGTACCAGATGCAAATTCGGGGCAATAATCCCCTTACGAATCAAACAGTTTTTAATTCATGAGCTTTTGTAGAGCTTAGTCTAAGGAATAACACAGTGCCCTAACAGAAGTGGTTTTTCTCCTCCGAAATAAAATACGGTATTTTGAACATCGTGCTTACTGACTGAACTGCAACGCCTTTCAAGTGGAAGCAGACTTCGGAGTCGCGTTTGCATCAGAAGGCATCAGTTCGCGCGATACTCATAAATCTCAGTATAGAGGGTTTCATAAGCTACAGACATATTAGATGTCTTGATAGAATATTTCAGGAAAAAATATATTGAGTGTGTAACGCCCAAACTTACCGGTCACCCTGCAAGTCGTAAATGTGTGGATAACGACCTTCTTTACACTATGCGACTCCTACTCCCTTTGAATTTCAAATGTTTCGAAGATCACTGCAGGTAGAATTAATTCTTTCTTCCAGTTCAAATTCACGATCGAAGCTGTGAAGAGAGTAGCGGTGCGCGATTGAGCATCCATAACAGAAAATTTATTTCGAAATTTATCTCCTTTGGCTTATCGTTATATTTGAACAAAAATGGCCAGTGAGAGTGAAATAAGGAGTAAAAGTAATGTATGATTCTTTTCAGAAAAGTAAATTTTTTTCCATTTTGCTGTAGTTATCTCTACATTCTCTCAGCAACGTTACGCTCATTAGTTTTTGTGGCAGATTAGAGCTATGAAGAGAGTTATCAGACTTCTGGTTACTACAAATATGGTTATCTAATATTGAGAATACTCAAATAGAGGCATAGATTAACGTGAAGTAAGGGTTTGAACAGCAAAAACTCAAGCTAGTCTTCAAAATTTCGTTTGCAATACATTTTGAATGATTTTGAAAAATCATTTGCAGTCTGGTTCTGCAACTTGCGGAGTAATCAGTAATCACTTTTTTTTTACAAACATACAGAAGTCAGCGAGCGGTTTGGTCTCACAAAGAAATTTCAACCGTACTTATTTGTCATTCGTGAAGTGAGTACAGAAAAAAACGATAAAAGTGTCTTTAGATTGATTTTAGATTGTTTTCTTCAAAAAGTATGCAGGTCTTCTCATTCCCAAAATTCCCAATGACCTTGCTCTTGTGAATAGCTGCATAAGCTATGACTACATTTATCACAAAATATGGAACTTTTATATTACAATGATCATGCTGGAAAAACACTTTAAAAATTGATGACATGCGTTTAGCTTTCCCCTCATTCAAAAATTCACATATGTTTGGCACATCGGATCCACATCGTCACGGAGAAGGCTGTAGACGACGGCGCTGCGTTCATTCAAAGTAGCGTGTGAACCATCTCCAGCGGTTAACAGTAGGCACTCCTTTTCGTCCTCCTGTAATGTGATTATGGATACTTGGTTTTTCCTCACTTATAATCGTCCTGAATTCTTCATTCAGCTAAAAAAGAGCAATGATTGAGGAACACACATCCTCTCCAGCGCAGTACTGCAATCACTGCACTGCACCATGCTTTGAGTGCTCAATGTTGTAAAAGTCATCCGCGTATAATCACGAGGTTGAATTAGGTACAGCCAACGCTATGAGATGGTATACGACCTACATTTTTGGAACCTTTTTAGAACTACTCATGCTTTGTGTTTGATTGCTTTAGTGAACCGTAGCGCAGCCGATTATCTTATATATAAAGCTGAATGTCTGTTTGTCTGTATGTATGTCTGTCTGTCTGTCTGTGTGTACGTATGTTCCGAATAGAAAATTCCATTTCTGAACCGATCCGGACCAAACTTGGCACACATACACTTCGGGCCCCGGCGGGTGTCATAGGCTACTTTTCGTCATCGATCGATATCGACTTTATCGATTTTTTGCAAAATTTGAGCTACGGGGCTGGGAGTTGGCACAGGGGGATAATCGAGCATGCTGATTACGAATATAATAATGACAGGGCCGGGCGGAGCCGGGTAAGTCAACTAGTAGGATATAATAAAGGCCATGTACCCTGTTTGCTGAAGTTATTTTCACTATTTCTTAGCAAGGTCCAGAGTGATCAGTCCCCTGACGATTTCAAGTGGTGTCTTGAAAGTCGCTAAACTTTTGGTTGCTACACATATGGACTGTTACCAAACGATGAAAATTTTCAAACAGCCAAGTCTTCGAATTAGAAGTGTGCTTAAACTACGAAAATCTTGAGTACTTCATGGGTTTCGTATCTGGCAATAGCATCTCGAATAAGCTGAAAAAGCATTTACAACTTCTTAAACTATACGTGGTATCGAAGCTAGGCTTAAGTTCTTTTTTCAGAACCAGTGTTAGCAAGCTGCTCACTTCGTACAGTTTTAGGAAGCATTCAATCCCATACTGAAATTTTTACCGTGCTTATTCGGCAATCGTAAAGTCACTGCATGATTACAAAAAAAAACTGTTTTCCCTAAACGTTTCCAAAGTATGTACAGTTTTTTTCCATAACGCTTTCGTTATTGTGCATAGCAGCGTAATCCATAACTACATTTATTACAAAACAACAAGCAAATTTTATTTCAATGGTCATGCTGCAGAAAACACTTCAAAAACTTATGACATGCGATCAGCTTTTCAACACTCAAACATTCAGGAATGTTTGGCACGTCGGATCCACGTCGTCGCGGAGGAGGCTGTAGACAACGGCGCTGCCATCATTCAAAGTACGGTGTAGAGTATTTCCAGCGTTTAACAGGTGGCACTCCTTTTTGTTCTGCAATGTAATGATGGAAACTTTGTTTTCTTTTTCTACTCATAGTCGCTGACTTCTTCGTTTAACTAAAAAAGCAGTGGTAAAAACACATCCTCTCAAGCGCAAGTTAAGAATCATTTGCTTTACAAATGATCGCAGCTCAAACTTGGCTTTTTTACGAATAAATCAAAAATGCCTTCAAGCCAGTCAAGCATGAGTTTGATTTGCAACGCTCTGTTCTTTCTAAAAAATCTTGGCTAGACTTTGCTGGAATGAGTGGTTCAATCGAAAGATAACAAAACTATGAATTTTTTTCAAGACTAGACTTTTCTGACTAGAGCATGCAGTGTTTCTAACAACACGAATACTTCAATCACTCCATTGGGCATTACGCTTTGATGTCAATGGCAAAAGTCATCTGCGTATAGTCACGATGTTGATTTACGAACAGCCAACGCTATGAGACGGCATATGATTTACATTTTCGGAACCTTGAATCCAATTTCCCTGCCTGCAAACAATGGCAAAATAATACAGCCAGATCCTTTGCGATGTTGAGTAGTATAAACATCTTTTACCTTCCAATACTGGATTCCAATACATATCGCGTTCTCGTAGCACGCAGCAAAGCATTCGTTGATGTTGTCAACCACAGGTCTTTCAAAAGTAACGCTTTCCAACCTCTCCACTTTGTCAAAAATGCAGGACGAAACCCATCCTGCCTGAAAAACAAGAAGTGACCATTTCTGTGAATTGTAATCAAGGAAGGTGTTCTACGATGTGAGATGACCTGAATGAGCAGTAGGGTGAAAGCGAACCACTTCATCGCGGTAACAGCTGAATGATTGAAGATTCTCAAACGCTCCTCCTCTCAGAGTACCACGAAATCAGAAACTATGGCAGCGATTTGTCGCCAAGAAACTAAGGGCTATACAATAAATCACATAAAAGTCTCCTAGAAATGATTTTTCACTGCTTAGTTGCAATTGTGTTCCTACATTTTTGGAAACAAAAATCATTATCCGCATAGAAAGTAACAACAGTGTTTAGGTTGGCAACATGTGAGTAAAAAGAGGGGTGGACATATTTTCGTACTGAAACACAAAGCATCCTGTATTTTGAATGTGCCCATAAAAATTAGGGATTTTTTCATCGACTTGATAGTTATTAGCAATTGATGTAGACATTTTGAAGAATCCGAGCAATAATCACTTTTTACCGTGTTTGATTATGCAATTTTAGCGCTTTCTTAACAGAAATAAACGCACCTGGTTAGCGATCCAATCTCAGTAAGACCTTGCTTAGACTTATCAGACTCTTGCTTGTAAAGAATCCTTGCTGTTCAGTGGTTTGGAGCCATATAAATAGCTATACGTTTGATCAGCTTCTTTCATAGGACAAAAATTCAGAATTCGTGGTTTGTCTACCAAAGGTACGAAAGGTACCAAAGGTAAGCTTTGTATAACAGAAGTCAATCCATCTCAAAACCATGATGCCGATGCCCCTCTTAGAGTAAGAGGCGTATGAGATTAGTTTGCATCTTCGCTCTTACTATTATGGTATTTTTAGTAATAGGCGGATATAGAAGAACACTTGCAGAAGACAATCCTAGTAAAGTTTTTTGCACCTTTTTGAGTCATTGATGTTTTTTCTTGAATGGGAATTCCATATGACGATGCGTATCCTAAAAGTCGTAAAATCTTGTAAGCTCGGGCTAGAAAAATTATTACTATAATTGTTTCTTCACATCATGAAAAGAGCTGTCAAAGCTTCTCTCATGAATTAGTCATAAGGTATAATAAACTTTAGCCGGTGACCAACAAATGTCAAGTCATTGGTAGCATTGTCTAGTCCAACTTCAACGCCGTCACAGGGGTATGTGCGTGGGGGTGGAATTTCTCATTATGCAGAACCTTTACAAAACACTACCCAAGCAAATCTGAGCGCATAGGTCTTTCGCCTGGAAATGGATGTAGGGGCCCTGACTAAAGCACTGTCCAAGAGGCAACGCAAATTGTTCATCCACGGGTGAGAAACCCGTTCCCAAAAACCCCGCGCCTGCGCCATGACCGTAACCCGAGGACGACTTCGCTCACATTAACACAACGTTCGCGCTGGGACCCATCCTTAGTGTTACGGTCACGGCGCAGCCGCGGTGTGTTTGTGGATGGATTTCTCAGCCGTGAATAAACCATTTGCGCTGCGGTTTGAGCAGTGCCTTAACTAGAACCTCCTCACCGGTTTCCACGCAAAAACCCATATGCCCAGATTTGCCTGCACACTGCCTTTAACTTGAACCGCGTTAACAGGTAAATTCCATTCCTTAGATCAAATGACCATTTTTACAGAATTTGAGACAACTTTGAACATTTTGCTAATCATCTTCATAGCAAGAATAGATTTCTAGTCATCCGCAAAAGTCTGCATTCCATGTCCAAATGCGTCTTTAAAACTGTTGTCAGTTCTGCCATTGCGAAAAAAAGGAGGAGAATGCGTAGCTTCCTTGTGGCACACCACTACTGCAGCGACCGCTTTGCGGCCTGTGGCAACTCGGTGGGCTCTTGGCACCTAGATGTAACCCGAGGCATGATGCTCGCTCGAAACTAAGCGACGTACCTAGCCTACTGTGTGCTAACGCGCGACTGATAGAACGGTAATAAATTATGTGATTTATCCTTATGACACTACACTACAATTAAAAATAGACAAAAATACTAAATTAAAAACAAATTACTACACTACTACTCCGCTAGATCCGCATTAGTCTTTTGAATGTTGCTCAATTGTTATTGAGAATACGATGGGTAGAAGCAAGACTGTGATCTGGGGCTTAGAACAGTTTTTTCGTAATAACCCCAATTTCTAAACACCAGTAGTTAGATGAAATTTCTGAACATACAAGTCAACAAAAATCACATTTTTTTATTGTTATAAGATGTTATGGCTCCGCAATTCTATTTGACGCAATATTTTACATACAATTTAATCAATCTCTGAGAGCGTTTATAGATCCAGTCTGTTTTCAAAGGTTTGCAACCACATGGTGTTCTTATGTTATTGGTTAAAAAATCCTATAAACTTGCTCTGACAGCTAGAATTTTAGTAGTTTAGAACAGCCGAGGATCAAAACTCATTGGGAGAGCCAATCTTTTGCAGCAGCTTGTGAATATAATAAAGCACTTGAAGTGAGGTCTGCTGCTATGATGTGACCAAGCTGAAATTTTACGTACCCCCAAAAAATGAAAAAGCGACTTGACCTCTTCGAAGCTGCGCCATTGACGTCTGTTCCTTTGTTCTTCTGTCAATGGGGAAGATAGGGGGCTTTTTGTGATATTTTCTAAAGTATGTTCAGTTTTTCATGATAAGATTTCGTTGCTACCATTTATTTATGGCTTAGCACAAATGGCATGTCCTACACGTCTTCTTTACAAAACAACATGCAGTTTTATTCAGTGGTTGTGCTACATAAAGCCCTTCTAAGAGGATGCCGGCTCTTCTCACATTCAAATATTTACAAAAGTTTGGCACGTTGGATCCAATTCGTCGCGGAGAAGGCTGTAGATAACGCCGCGACCACCTTTGTGCAGAGCATCTCCAGTGGTGATCAATTTGCAATCATCAGGCTGTAAGGATAACTCAGATATGTTCACTTATAGTCATTCTAGCTTAATCATGCAGCTAGAAAGAAAAACAGTCGTCGAAGAACTTGTCTTCGACGAATGTTTTTTCTAAACAAAGTGAGCGAAATTTAGTTACCCTGATGTTAAAGGCAGCGTCCAGGCAGATCTGGACCTATGGGGATTTTACGTGGAAAGTACTTTTGGGGCCCTAAGTAAGGCACTGCCCAAGCGGCAGCGCAGGTAGTGCTCTAAACGGCTAAGATATTCCCCTCGAAACTGGACCCCGCGATCGTATTTCGCATGGATTCATGGCGCAAAGCGTGGACCCTGGCGCGAACCTGCCATGAATCCATGCGAATACGACAGCGGCGTCCAGTTTCGAGAGGAATATCTCAGCCGTTAGAGCACTACCTGAGCTGCCGGTTGGGCAGTGGCTTAGTTAGGGCCCCAAAATTACGATCCAGTGAGATCCCCATGTTCCAGACTTGCCTGGACGCTGCCTTCAAGAGTACAAAACACACCTTTTTTGATTTTTTGAGCGAGCTGCTCAGCAGCCTCGCTTTGATTCGAAAAACTAAACTTATGGCGCCCGATACTCTCAGGCAATGCGCAGCACGGCAAAAGTCCTTTGGTTGTGAAATCTTCTGGTATGTTCAGGCCGTCGAATTTAGAGAGAAAATAAAACAGGTGCGTCCTGTACTCGTGAAATTAGTGTAACGATCACGATTCGAAACTGGCGCGAATAGCGCTACGCTAAATTGTAGACATAAAGTCCATAATGCTAGTTATATTGGTGAAAGAGTCATGAGATCTTTACGATCTATGTTTGTAGAACCTTGAATCAGTCACCTGCAAACAATAGCAAGACGAGACGACCAGAAACATTACGAAATCAAGTAGCATATCAAGTTCCTTACTTTATAGTGCTTGATTCCGATGCATTTCGGATACTTGTAGCACTCAGCAAAGCAAGTATTGATGTCTGCCACCAGGTTATGACTGGTACCTTCTAACTCCTTCACTTTGTCGAAAGTGCACGGCAATATCCATACTGCCTAAACAAGCTCGATGTTTTTTTACGAAAATGAAGCTGAGAAGATGGGTTCCTGCAGAAGTAAGGTACCTGACTGAATAGCAAAATAAGAGTAAACCACTTCATCGCAGCAAAAGAACGCAGGAGAATCTCAAGTGTATCCAAAATCTCCACCTCTTTTCGTTTCTTAGATACTAAGAACAATGGTGCGCACAGGGAACAAAAGCATTTTGCTCTAATTTATACCTAACATTAGAGTCATCTAGACAAGTCTCTATCTAAACGAAAAATCTACTGCTAAACACGAAAGAATGGTTAGTCGAAGTGGCCATCCAACATGAGCTGCATACTGCTTCAAAAGGCACGAAACGCTGTACCAAGTATGCCTTCCATCTGTTGCGGGTTTGTCGGTGAGAAGTTACGAGGATTTATATAAGCAGAGAAATGAACGAGCAGCTTGAGTGGAATAAACTTTGAGATTTTCATAGCTCAAATAAGGTAGCGATGAAAGAGGGTAAATATATTAGGTTGTCCCGAAAGTTTTGTCCGTTTTTTCAACCTATCATAAAAATACGTGGAACGAAGATAGGGAAACGCCCTAAGCACTATCCGACGCATCTTTTCCTCCCCTTTTTAACTGTCATGATCCTATGCCGATTACTCTTTTGCTCACTGAGATAAACGCCGAAATTTTCGAACCCATGGTTTTTACTATGTCCAAGTTTGGCAATTTTTCACAGTCTTCGTTTTTGACATTTGGAAAAACTCTGGTAGCAGTTAGATAGAGCAAACAAAGGGCAATATAATGCAATTTTGCGGCATCTATAGCTAGCCTTGAAAATTTTTTTAGAATTATTTTTCTGATGCTATCAAATTCCACTTTTGATGATGCCAAAAGCCAGACATCATGAAACGGCGTACAACTAAGGTGTTATTCAATGCAGCTTTTCCTCCTCTTTCCAGTGAGTGTATTTTTCCTCCAACTTGTGGGGTCTTTAGCGATAAAATTTCCATAATTTTTGAATTTGACCTCACCCCATCGCATACCGTAAAATACGAAATCTTATATTTCGAAGCGGTAAACGCTCAGTTGCTTTGTAAAAATAGTGAATAATCATAATCAATTTTCGAAAGCTTCAAAATCGGATGATTTGTTAGTGTTCGAGGCGTTTCTGTATTTTGGGACTTCGCAAAAGTGAAGACTTTTGAAAAAATCATCTCAAAAAATACTGAAAAGCCAGCTGGATAAGCCAAAAAATTGTGTTTACTCTATCTGAGCGCTATCAAAGGTCTTCCAAAAGTTGAAAATGAAGTTGGCGAAAAATTGCCAAACTTGGACATAGTAGAAACCAAGGGTTCGAAATTTCGGCGTTTATCTCAGTGAGCAAAAGAGTAATCGGCATGTGATCACAACAGTTGGAAAGAGGGGGAAAAGCTGCGTCGGACAATACCTGAAGCGTTTACCTACCTTCATTCCTCGTGTTTTTATGATAAGTTGAAAGAACAAACAAAACTTTCGGGACAACCTAATAGTTTGGGAGTATTCATTGCACGGAGTGCCCTGTCATCATCACTGCTCCATCCAAGCGCGAGGAAAGATATAACTGCAAATTTCACCTAAGTAGTGGATTTAATCTTCTAAATGAACGCTCACAACTCTTACCCCAGAAACTCACAGCAGATAAGGAAGGCAGATTTGAAGCATCATACGTCGCATCTTGAAAGGCAATTGCAGACCATCCTTCTTCAGTAAGTCGCACTGTGGGGGAGTTTCTATTCCCATTTCTGATATTTGCAGAGCTGATTATCGTTCGGAGTGTCTTGCCCAGAGGCTGCCTGGCATCCACGTTGCCTTTATTTTGCAAAGCGAAATCTATCGTAGGCAGTTGAGCGCTTATAAAGACATCTTCTGGACATATTTTGTTTGACAATAATTTTAATAAAAATTTCCATTTCGGAAGCTTAAGTTTAGATGTGAGCATATTGTAACTTCAGCGCCCAGAAGTGTAGTGCGCGAACTTATTGTTAGTTATATTCTCATAGAAACTACAACTAAGTAGTTGTACTGTCTCTGCTGATCTTCACTACGAAATTTGTGGTAAATCAACATTCCTCTGAGCAGAATAAATGCTAATTTTTCGAAGTTTTGTCAAAAGTCCTCCTTTCTTGTAAGCTGGACATTTTTTCAAAATTTTGTCTGATTAAGACTCAGATTGCTATATAATCCATTCAGAAGCCTAGCCTAATGCAACGAGTGAGAAATTTCTAGTTGGAAAAATTCGAATTCAACTGGCACTGATAACTACTCGTAAAAGAGTGAGAAATCTCAGTGATTCAGGTAAAACTCAGACTACCCCTCATCGAGAAAGTTTATGCCATTACATATCTCCTATGCCAGTTTAGAACCTGTAATCAAATTAAGGTTTCACATTGTAGCAAACCTCAATTGTACTACTTTCTCGTATAAAAGTGTAAGACCGGCAAGGAAATCTTTCCCAGTCACTCGAGATGTATCTTCTTTTGTCATCAGCTGCAAGATTTCCAAGACAGTTTAAAACGTTTCAATCCAAAACAGACTACTAAGATTCCTCAAAAGACTCTTGAACTTCGTTCAGGAAGTTATTTGGGATATCGGAGCCATGAAAATCCGGCAAAACGACCAGGATAGTCAAAGCGTTAAGTTCTATCAATGACATCCTCAACAGAAAAGCATTTCTCTTTGCGCATTGCCTAGGCTCGATCAATTGTTTGGAAATATTTATACAAGAAAGAACTCGACGACATTACGTCGTTTATAATAAAACTTTCAGACAAAACTAGCAGTTCGCATGCGACGTACATACTATACTTGATTATACTACTTGATTATTATACTTGATTATTATACTTGATTTCATCAAGCTAAGTGAATACTTCCAGCAACTATGATGATAATCGACGAGAGAACAGGAGCTAAACAAACACAAATCGACGATATTTTCGCGGGATTTTGTACTGATGGCGGGCGCAAATACAAAACATACAGCTGTAACAAGAGGACGTAAAGTTTTTTGCCTATTTCACACGAAGTTGGTAACCGAGACGGCGTAAGTTTTAATTCTATAGGACGGCCGATAAGTAAGGGCGTTAGATTCTTCATTGCAAAATTTACTTAAAAGACGAGGTTTTGTAAAACTATTTTTGCGTGTCAGAAATAGAAGCGTCTTGATGTGTTACTCCTATCGTCCATTCTCCGTAATATAGCTGGCGGAGCTTTGCCGACGTTTGCCAACGTATGCGCGTGGCAGTTTTTGTTAGCTAGAGAGCACAAAAACTAATGCTTTAGATTGTCTTCCGTTATATTATGCCAGAACCAGGTTTTTACGGTGGTAATGTTTATTGACCTGACGCGTTTCGACTAAGTCTAAAAGCTTTAGAACGAAGATTTGACAAGTCTTTTAACGTGTTCAAATGTCTGCAGGGCCACGCTCGCTATACGCATGGGAATCGCCTATGCAAAGCTTGCACATGCACACAGACTTCAGCATCCTATCTTGAAGCTAATGCGTCAAAAAATGCAGTTTGAAGAATGTACCAGATGCAGATTCGGGGTAATAATCCCCTTACGAATCAAATAGTTTTTAATTCATGAGTTTTTGTAGAGCTTAGTCTAAGGAATAACATAGTGCCCTAACAGTAGTGGGTTTCTTCCTCCGAATTAAAATACGGTATTTTGAACATCGTGCTTACTGACTGCGCTGCAACGCCTTTCAAGTGGAAGCAGACTTCGGAGTCGCGTTTGCATCAGAAGGCATCAGTGCGCCATACTCATAAATCTTATATAGAGGGTTTCATAAGCTACAGACATACTAGTTGTCTGGATAGAATATTTCAGGAAAAAAAGTTATTGAGTGTTGTAACGCCCAAACTTACCGGTCACCCTGCAAGATGTAGATGTATGGATAACGACCTTCTTTACATTATGCGACTCCTACTCCCTTTGAATTCCAAATGTTTTAGCATGGTAGCGACTAAAAAGTAGAGATGACTGCAAGTAAAATTAAATCTTTCTTCCAGTTCAAATTCACGGTCGAAGCTGTGAAGAGAGTAGCGGTGCGCGATTGAGCATTCATAACGAAAAATTTATTTCGAAACCATGCCATAACTTTCAGTAAGCTCCGTTTATCATTTGTTGATGCTTTCGCTTCAAAAGCATCCTTTGGCTTATTCGAACAAATAGGGCCAATGAGGGTGAAATAAGGAGTAAAAGTAATATAGGGATTTTTTTCAGAGAAGTGAATTTTTTTCCAAAGAACCATTTTGCTGTGGTTATCTTTACATTGTCTCAGCAACATTACGGTCATTAGGTTTTGTAGCAGAATAGAGTTATGAAGAGAGTTATCAGACTTCTGGTTACCACAGGTATGATTATCTAATATTGGAAATACTCAAATAGAGGCAATTTTTTAGATTAACGTGAAGTAATGGTTTGAACAAACTTAAGCTAGTCTTCATCCTTTCGTTTTTTGCAATACATTTTGAATGATTTTGAAAAATCATTTGCAGTCTGGTTCTGCAACTTGCGGAGTAATCAGTAATCCAACTTTTTTTTACAAACATACAGAAGTCAGCGAGCGGTTTGGTCATATAAAGAAAAATCAACCGTTCCTATCCGTCATTCGTGAAGTCAATACAGAAGAAAACGATAAAAATGTTTTTCTTCAAGAAGTATGCACAAGTTTAGTTTTCAGTGCCCTTTCTTGTGAGCACCTGCATAAACCATGACTACATTTACTATACATAACATGTAACTTTTATATTACAGTGATCATGCTGCAGAATACACTTTAAAAATGATGACATGCGTTTAGCTTTCCCCTCATTCAAAAGTTCACAAATGTTTGGCACATCGGATCCACATCGTCACGGAGAAGGCTGTAGACGATGGCGCTGCCATCATTCAAAGCAACGTGTGAACCATCTCCAGCTCCAGCGGTTAACAGTAGGCACTCCTTTTTGTTCTGCAATGTAATGATGGAAACTTTGTTTTTTCTACTTATAGTCGCTGACTTCTTCGTTCAACCAAAAAAGCAGTGGTAAAAACACATACTCTCAAGCGCAAGTTGAAAATGATTTGCTTTACAAATGATCGCAGCTCAAACTTGGCTTTTTTACGAGTAAATCAAAAATGCGTTCAAGCCAGTCAGGCATGAGTTTGATTTGCAACGCTCTGTTCTTTCTAAAAAATCTTGGCTAGACTTTGCTGGAATGAGTGGTTCAATCGAAAGATGACAAAACTATCAATTTTTTTAAGACTAGACTTTTCTGACTAGAGCATGCAGTATTTGGGACAACACGAATACTGTTACGCATACTGCATTACGCTTTGAGTGTCGATGACAAAAGTCATCCGCGTATAGTCACGATGTCGATTTACAAACAGCCAGCGCTATGAGACGGCATACAATCTACTTTTTTGGAACCTTGAACCCAATTTCACTGCAAACAGTGGCAAGATATTGCAAGCGGAACCTTTGCGATGTTGAGTAGCATAAACATCTCTTACTTTCCAGTGCTGGATTCCAATGCATCTCACATTCTCATAACACGCAGCAAAGCATTCGTTGATGTTGTTGATCGCAAATTGTCTGAGGCCCATGCTTTTCAACTCCTCCACTTTGTCAAAAATGCAGGACGAAACCCATCCTGCCTGAAGAAAAACAACTTCAATTATATCTGTGAGTGTAATCGAGAAAGGTTTTGTATTGATGTGAGATGACCTGAATGAGCAGTAGGATGAAGGCGAACCACTTCATCGCGGTAACAGCTGACTGATTTGAGTTTTTCAAACGCTCCACCCCTTAGAGTACCAGGAAATCAGAAACTATGGCGGCGATTTGTCGCCAAGAAACTAAGGGCTATACAATAAATTACATAAAAGTCTCCTAGAAACGATTTTTCACTGCTTAGTTGCAATTGAGTTCCTACCATGTTTGGAAACAAAAATTATTATCCGCATAGAAAGTAACAACAGTATTTGACTTGGCAACTATAGGTAAAAGGAGGAGGGGAAATTTTCTTGTACTGAAACACAAAGCACCCTGTATTTTGAAAGTGCCCATACCAATCTTGATAAGACCGTAAACGTTTTTGCACCTTTTCGAATTTCTGTTCTTCCAAATAAGAGTTCCATACTGAAGATGCGTATTTTAAAAGTGATAAAATCTTGGAAGCTCGGACTAAGTAGAGCCATCACTATAAATGCTTCTTAATATCATGGAAAAGCTGGCAAAGCTTTCCCAATAACTGAGTGATAAAGTTTAGTTGATGGTCAACAGAACTGTCAAGTCTTCGGTAGCACTGTCCAGTCCAACTTCAACGCCGTCACAGAGGTATAGTCGTACAAATTCGCCATTGTACAAGTCGTGCTCTCGTGACAATACGCTCCTCGCGTGGTCCGCAGAGTTTAGCAGTCCGTGCGGTCAACGAATCGACTATAGGATATGTGCGCGGAGGATGAAATTTGTGAAGATGCAAAACTTTTGATTTAAGTGCGTTAACAGGTAAATCCCACTCCTTGCATCACATGATCATTTTTACAGAATTTGAGACATCTTCATGGGAACATGTTGCTAATCATCTTCGTAGCACAAATAGAGTTTTATGCCGCCTGCAAAAATCTGCATTTTATGCCCGAATGCGTCTCAGTAGTGGTGTGCCATAAGAAGGCATACTCACTCTCGTCCTTTTTCTCGCTATGGCAGGACTGTCAACAGTTTTGAGCGCTCAGAACAGCCGGTTCAACTCGCACTTTCATACATGTGAGTTTGCGGCCATTATGCGCGTAATCAGCTTTCTTAGTTTTCCCTATTCTGCCAAATGCTTTTCTGCTATTAGATGCAACTTTTCAATTACCTGAAGCCAATTTGAAAAGCGAGGTTGTTTAATTGGTTTGAGGTTTTGTAGAGGCATTTACGTGTGCAACGACCGCAGATTCATCGACTCATGCGATCATGCAGAACCCTATATCTCTACTTTCTAGTGAGATGAGAGCCAATTCAACAGTTGTTGGTCCATTCCGTGTTTAGAAAAAATTTAAATAGTAATATGATTGATTTACTTTATCGAAAGCCTTGTGAGGGTAAAAAAACGACATATATTGATCTTCCCTGGTTCATTGCGGTAGTCCAATCGATTATTGGTCCTTCCTGGATGAAGCGATGTTGAACAAAAGGTAAAATATTGCGCTTATCTAAACAATCATGCAGTTTTTTTTATCACAGTTCCTCAAGTACTTTACCGCAAGGGGCAGTGTTACTGATGGAACAGGGATAAAAAACACCACTGGAATACTCGCTCTCTGAAATAGCTGTTGCCAAAGTTTACTTTCAAATTTGAGGAGCCTTTTTCAGTGAGAAAGAGGCGTTAAAAGTAAGCTACAAGAAGAAAGCCAGCACCAAAGCACAATTTCGATATAAGACCTGCGGAAGGCCATTGTATGCAGCGGAGCTTGTTGCTTTCAGTTTTCTCAAAATATCATAGACTTTATCAGGGACAAAAAACAGCTCCTTTATAGCATATATTTTAATCACTTTTTCAGCCTAGCACAAATAAAAATTTCAAAAATACAGAGAGAGGAGAGGAGGTGAGGGTGAGCAAACATAGTTTACGGAATTTTTTAAGGATTATTGTATGTCTCTTCCGGGTACAGATAGAAAACAAAGAGTGAAAGTGAGTGTGAAATTTGAGAGCCAGAATTGGCGAGTTTGCCCAAAATGGCGAAAACTTTTACATTGGACTGTTGAAAAAAAACTTTTACATTGACAATCTAATAGAAAGACGCATTCTTAGTCTAAGATCACAAAAAATCTGTAGCAGATTTGAGTTTTCAGAACTAATTTTGATTAGGAATTAAGTACATGATAAAGTTTGCATTCTTTGCGCAAATCTGTGGTATGGCTATAATTTTTGACCTGCGATACCCTGTCGAGAGAAATCATGAGCCCCCATGTTATTGTTAGCGAACTCATGTTTGGGCTCTTCTTGGATGTGGAACCACAAAGCTTGGCAATTATTCATTTCTAAGAGAATTATTTGCGCATTAGGAAACCAACCAGGTTTCCTAGAGGCGAATATTTGTTGCTGCTTTATTGCGGATCAAATTTTTATTTGACTGACCCTGCACTCAATTCCGGTATGCAATACCCTTAGGATCACGTAAGGGATACGACAAACATTATCGTCGGCAGCTAATGGAGTAACTCACAAAGTGCTGGTTACTGTTATCGTATAAGTTGAGTTCGGCATTTTTGATTAATAAGAATAACTACTTTAACTTAACGCGTAATTTAACTTTTTCGTTGAAGTTGTTCAATTGAGTAAATGTGCTCCTATCAATTTCGAATTGACCAAATTTGCAAGCTTGCTAGACAAAAACTGAATATTCCCTTGGTACATAGCAAAATGCGCACTCTAAACAAGAGAGGCCAAAGCTATCAAAGTCATTTTCAATTTTCCTGTACCAGTACTCAGACAATCGACGGGACCCCTCCGCCGGACCCTCGGAAACTGCCAGGGTCGCGCCGGACCCAATTGACCAATGAGAGAAGGGCAAATGGGCGGTCCATCGCGGTGGCATCACTGGCAGGCAAATGGGAGGCTTCTCCGGCCCTGCTGCAAAGGTCCGCCATTTCTCCGGCGCGACTCTGCCAGATTTGACGGACTCCGCGCCGCAGAGGTCTGCGCGGCGCGTGTCCGCCAAATTTGGAAGACACGCGCCGGAGAAAATGGGAGGGGTCCGGAGCAGAAATGGGAGGTATCCGGAGCAGAAAATGGGGGGTATCCGGAGCAGAAGATGGGAGGTCTCCGGAGCAGAAAATGGGAGGTATCCGGAGCAGAAATGGGAGGTATCCGGAGCAGAAAATGGGAGGGCTCCGCCGGACAAATGGGAGACCCACCGCTGGGGATACGCCGCGACCCTGCCACTTCTCCGGCGGAGGGGTCCGATCCGCTGTCTGAGTAGTTAGGAAAGAAATGAGATAGTTGGAAAAATAGAAATTTGTGACTTTAATCATTCTTAAATTACTTGTAAGAGTCTCGACCACTACCTTCTCTTTTCGTCTCGACCACTATCTTCTCTTTTGTTTTCATGCATAAAGGGAAAGCAAATTCTCAGGTTGTTGAAAATAGGGTCCTCAGAGAAGGTTTCAGTAAGGCTCCCGCCAGAGTGCCGAAGTTATGCCAGCGCTACGCCAGCATTTCGATCGATACACGTGTATTTCGTTGGGGACGTCAGCTAGCCCCGCCCCAACAAAATACACGTGTATCGATCGAAATGCTGGCGTAGCGCTGGCACTCCGGCACTCTGGCGGGAGCCTAAATGACAATGCCTACCTGCAACAGCATTTAGAAGCAGAAATCTGTAATAATTTGTAATGCATTTTCTCAATTAAGGCTCATGAACAACAAGTTAAACAACTTCTTTAGATTGAAAATCTAGGTCAGTGGTTTTCTAAAATAAACAAGCTTCTTGTCAATCTCATTTAGTCTATAAGAATTTCCAGCGCGGTACCTGAAGGTTGTTGAATGAAAAATCTGTGTATCAACATCTAATGCGAGCATTCACATTATTTATGCCTTTTTTATGAGGTAATAGTATTCACAAATGACAACCCTCGGCGAAAAATGTGCAACATCTAAACGACTCGACCATTTCACGCACTGCCTCACTGCAACTCGTTCTTTCTTCGCATATGCCGTATATAGAAAAAAGAAGAGTAATGGTGCGAACTGGAATTTTCATACATATAGTGGCAAACTCATTCCGAAACCAGGTTTGCATGCATTGACATCCTGGCTGAAAAGAGGAAAGCAGCCTTCATTAAGAAGATGTTGAATGAAAGCGAAAATTTGTGCAAGCCGCACTTCCCAGCCTTTTGTATGAACCTCTTGTGATCCCCGGCGGCCGACGGTCTTTTATTTAGAGTGATTTTTCTTTCTTCATTGCTAATGAGAGTTTCAAAGTTGTAACGATTATCTAGCCCAACAGCGCTAAGCATGCTTTTGATAAGAGAACAAATGATGTATTGAAGTCGTGAAAATTGCGTTGAAGCACAGAAAGTTGAGGTTCATCGAAAATCTCAATATTCAAATAACCCAGTTTTTCTTATAAGTAACAAGTTTAGTACTGTTGGGCTAGATAATCTACGACATTGGAATATTCTCGTTGAGTTCGAAGAATGAAAATCTTATATATAAAGCTGAACGTCTGTTTGTTTGTCTGTCTGTCTGTCTGTCTGTCTGTCTGTCTGTCTGTCTATCTATCTATGTCTATCTATCTATCTGTCTGTCTGTCTGTCTGTCTGTCTGTCTGTCTGTCTGTCTGTCTATCTATCTATGTCTATCTATCTATCTGTCTGTCTGTCTGTCTGTCTGTCTGTCTGTCTGTCTGTCTGTCTGTCTGTCTGTCTGTCTGTCTGTCTGTCTGTCCGTCTGTCTGTCTGTCTGTCTGTCTGTCTGTCAGTCTGTCAGTCTGTCTGTCTGTCAGTCTGTCTGTCTGTCTGTCTGTCTGTCTGTCTGTCTGTCTGTCTGTCTGTCTGTCTGTCTGTCTGTCTGTCTGTCTGTCTGTCTGTCTGTCTGTCTGTCTGTCTGTCTGTCTGTCTGTCTGTCTGTCTGTCTGTCTGTCTGTCTGTCTGTCTGTCTGTCTGTCTGTCTGTCTGTCTGTCTGTCTGTCTGTCTGTCTGTCTGTCTGTCTGTCTGTCTGTCTGTCTGTCTGTCTGTCTGTCTGTCTGTCTGTCTGTCTGTCTGTCTGTCTGTC